GGACTGTAGATTAATCTACAGTAGCCTAATCTACATGCCTCTGACGACAGAGGCATGTAGTCTAGACGTACCCTAAGAGAAAACAAACCTTGTGACAGAAATAAATTGGTTTCTGTTAGGACTGTAGATTAATCATAGTTAACATATATATACGAACTAAGTCACAAATTAAAAAAATTAATTGCAGTTACTCAGTTTTAATGGCAATGTTAAACAATGAGAATACCAATTGAAATTTATTGAATTTGTTTTTTTACATTTTCAAATATATTGATTTCAAGTACAATTCAGAATACAAAGTGTACAATGCTAATTTTTTTATTTTTCTTACAAATATTTACACTGGAAAAGTGATAAATAGTATTTTTCATGTTACTTAATACAGGTACTGTAGTGCAATCTTTGTCATGAGAGTTGAACTTAAAAATGTAGAATTATGTACAAAAATAATGACTTTCAAAAATAATTGTATGTAAAATTTTTAATGCGCTCAGGACTATTACTTCTGGAGCCAGTCATTAAGAAAACAAGTTTGTTTACATTTATGGGAGAATATTGCTGCCTGCTTCTTATTTACACTGCCTTAGAAAGTGAAAATAGGTGTTAGCCTGGTACTTTCATAGCCAGCATTTCAAGGCATTTGTATGCCCCTTCATGCTTTGGCCACTATTCCAAAAGATATGCTTCCATGCTGATGATGCTCATTTAAAAATGCATTAATTACATTTGTGACTGAACTCCTTGGAGAATGGTCTGTCTCCTGCTGTTTTATTCACATTCACCATATATTTCATGTTACAGCACTCTCAGATGATGACCCAGCTTATATTGTTGGTTTTAAGAATAAATTCACTGCAGATCTGACTAAACACAAAGAAGGTACCAGTATGATATTTCTAGAGCAGGGTTGGGGGCCGCTGGCTCTCAGAAAAATCAGTTGGGGGCTGCACACAAGTGAGAAGCCAAAAAATAAAAACCCCAAACCCTCACTGACATGGACCCTAACGGAGAAGGATAAAAACACTCCCTACATTCCCATTGCACACCAGAGCCTAAGGGGGCCCAGGCTAGTAGATTTTGTGTGTGCCAGCTCCCCAATGCTGTGGAGGGAGCCTGAGCCTCAGGGGCCAGATCAACGCAAGCCAGGAACTGCATCTGGCCCCTGAGCCTTAGTTTCCCCATCTCTGCTCTAAAGAGAGTAACAGCACTCAACCCAATATTTAAGAAACCTAAGGTGCCTTACAAAATCTGAAAGGGATAAGGTGTGGAGAATGCTTTCAGAAATCTTAAAACAGCAACACTAGGATGTGGAAACTAAAGAACCCAAACTACCAATAAAGAAAATCCACCTTCTGCTGGTAGCTTCTGAGTCATGATAATAAAAAATGAACATGCATCGGTCCATGCTGCTTTGAATCGTTATCGAGTAGAACATATCATCATGAGTGCATATCCTTAGGAATGATGATTGAAGCATGAATAACCAATAATCTTTTTTAGCATGTCTGGCATGCAAATATGTTGTAATGCTAGTTACAACTGTGCCACGTGAATGCCTGTTCTCACTTGACAATTGTAAAGAAAAAGTGGGCAGAATTACTTCCTGAAAATGTAATCAAAAGTGTTTGAGTGAATGGCTGAACAAATACAGATTGAACCTCTCCAAACCAGACCACGAATGTTCCTAAACCTGTAGTAAGACTGAATGAACAGATGGGCTCTAAAGCTTTTCATTATTGTTGAATTAAATTTTTTTTTACATAATTCTGCAATTAAGTTCAACTTTCATAATAGAGATCGTATTTGTTAGGTGAATTGAAAAATCCAGTTTCTTTTTTTACAGTGCAAATATTTGTAATTAAAAATAAATATGAAGTGAACACAATATACTTTTTGTTGTAATTTAAATCATTTTTTGAAAATACAGAAAACATTTAGATATTTAAATAATTTGTATGATATTGTTTAACAGAGCTATTAATTGCATTTCCTTTTTTAATAGCTTGACAGTCCTAGTTTTTATATTAGAAAGATTCTGACTTTTTCAGTAAGGGGGCAAGCAGCACGTTTATACCTGTTCTACCTGCCTTACAATAAGTGCATAAAAATACCCACACTATCATTCCCAAGTGTCTCTTTAAAAAGTTGTTTTATGGGTATTTTTTGCATAGTTGTATCTTTCTATGAAATTATATAATCCCCCAATTCTAATTTAATGAATCTGTAACTTTTGGAGCTAGCTTTTAAAAGGTGAAAACATGCAACATTGAATTGGTATTCAAATGTTCAATTACTTGGATCATGTGTTTCAAATTACTAAACACTTTGGAAGTAAGGAAGTACATTCTTCTTCCTTATGAGACCTGCCCATGTTTTAAAATATTCTTCCAATGGGCTTCAGAAACTAAGAGTAACAGTAATATTACCAGCAGTACTATTAGGTTTGTACAGTCTCATCTAGTTTTGGCTAATTATTCAGCTCCTTATGCAAATTATTGTTCTACTTTGTGGCAGAAATGAATGCAGAAACCAAAAATATTTGACTTCAACATGAATAATGGGCGGAGAGACATTTCAGTGGCTGTGTAAAGAATGATATACAGCAACACTAGGATCAGATCTACACTACCACATGTCGGCAAAATGTGTGGTGCTCAGGGTGTGAAAAAAAAAAAAACAAGACCTCTGAGCAACATAGGTTTTATCAGCTTAAGTGGTAGCGCAAAGTGCTGTGTCAGCGGAAAAAGCTCTCCTGCCAACATAGCTAGCATCACTTGTTGCGAGTGGTAAAATTACATCAGTCAGAGAGCTCTGTGCCACTGTAAACTTGCTAATATAGTCCATAGCTTTAGTGTTGCAGAGACACATCTGATAAAGGAATCCTGTGTCTCAAGATGTCTGAGCATGAGAGGGGCTGTTGTTGGAGCACTGTGGCAACTGCGATCAAAAAAGTTCATATTCTGTGGATTTTTTTTTAACCATAACATTATTTTAATATAGACTTGTTTTTCAGTCAACAAGATTGTAATATATTGCACTTGTAAATCACTGAGAGATGACAGTCTGACATCCCTGTCAAGCATAAGATACTTTCACCCTGGTTACCATGGGATATGCTGTTAGCAATTAAAAGGGCATATGTAACATGACATTTATAATACAATAGAATGTTGTTGGGGAATACATTCTTTATTCCCAGGTAATGTATTTTATTGTGTGAAAATAGGTTGGCATATGAACAGTGCATTTTGTGTAGGACCCTAGACTTACCACAGTTGTATTGCTTTTGTTAACCTATATTGAAATTTTAAGTCAGGATCCTCAAGACGTGCTATGTTGTTTCCTTCTCTTCCCCCACAGCTGCCGGAAAAAGTGAACTAGATTAAAGATCACAATCCATATAGATATAATTTAAATCCACCTCGCCACTGTAAAATTTTAAGGCCCTTTGATCCTAATTCAGGAAGACATTTAAGCATATTCTTTAAAACTAGGCATATGTAAGTGTTGTCTTGAATGGAGGCCTATTTCTGCAAAGTTACAAAGTGGTGGACTCACTGCTATCTCTGTACCAACATGTAACCTCGACATAATTCCATTGCAGTAAACATTCCTGTTAACCCTCAGAGCACCAACCAAGAAAACTGTCAGAATGGTGGTTTGTCACCTTTTTCCACTATAAATATAAGCAAAAAAAACCTTGTATAGGCCACATTGAAAAACATAAAACTGGTGACACTTGTCCAGATTTTTTATAATTAAATGTATATGTGGGAAAGCCCCCTACACTAATTATGAATATCTGATATATAATGAAAATCACTGATAGAGATCAGTCTTGCAGTCACAAGAAGGGTCTTTTGCTCTCAGAGTAGGAGGGGCCTGGACTCCTGAAAAGCACTGTTGCCCTCTCTTCTGTGTCTCTTTTCCTTTGTACAAAAATGTCCATGACCAACCTCTCTGTGAGGGAAGATTGTTGTTTTTGAGAGAAGTGATTAGTAAAATAATAGAAAATGGGGTGAATCCAAGTGGTGACCTTGTCATTTCTGTGGAAAAAACTACTTGGTGTGATGAAGGGATAAATGACAAACCATTGGGAAAACATTTATTTAGGTATTTGTAATTGTCCCTAGGTGCTAATGTAGTCCATTTAAAACTTGCAGATGCCTCTTCAGTAATGGGAAATTTTATGACCACTTGCGCTTTTTACACAGGTGCTTCTTGTTCAGATACTCCTTATTACTAGAGGCCATTCTACTTGGTGGCGAGGGGGGAATTACCTAAGCTCAAAAAGAACAATGTCATAATTAGTGGAACATTTTTTGCAGGACTAGCAAATATAAATTGTTACCAGAATATTGAACTAGAAGGAGGATTTGAAATACGTGTTGTAATTATTTCCTGTTACTGTAGCGTATGTGTTCTCCTCAGTCTATGCTATAGCTATAGTTATTACATAACTGCATTCTGCAAGTATTACTGTAAGTTAGTCTGAGGTCAAACTTGGATAATTCAGACAGATGTGGCACAAGCATGTGATCTGAAAAGGCTTGACTGGGCCTTGTGATATTCCCTTCTCTTTTCTCCAAACTATTTGTGATTGCAAGGCAGATTGGAAGAGCTTACTGCTCAGCAGTCAGTCAAGGATTTGGACTTTGAACTCTATGTGGGAGAATGCCTGAAGCTAGGATATTGTAGCTATTTATAGTCATTGATTTCATTCCTGTGACTTAGTGGGCTGCAAGCCTTTATTTGTAACCCTTAATAAAGAGACAAAATCTGGATCTTTCATCTGTTTTCATGACTATTTAATGTATGTTTGGACTAGTCATGAAGATTCCTCTTCCCTCAGTAAATTTGTCAGTTGTCTATTTGTTTATAGGTTAGGATAAAATATTACCAAATTACCTCAAATCCAGTTTCTCAAAGCTTTTTATGTTCAGTAGAGTTTATCCTTCTAATCATGCTCCTTTTTATCCCTTCTTCCTCCTTTCTCTCAGACGAGATCACAGCTAGCTTTCGTCGCTTTGGTCCTTTGATTGTGGATTGGCCACACAAGGCAGAAAGCAAATCCTATTTTCCTCCTAAAGGTAACTCTCACGATTTTAACATTATTTTAAGAACCATTGCAGAACCCGTGACTTCACTGTGAGGATTTGAAGTGTAATTTTCATTGTGTAAGGGATCGTCCTGTTCACTGCCCCATACCAAGTTGAAAATACCCCTAAAATCATGATGTAACTTGCAACATCCTGCAGGCTATGCCCCCTGCTCACTGTGCTTGCCAACCCCACTCTCCTGGAGGGTGGGAACCCTGGTGCTCCTCCCCCTGGCCACTGCCAGCCCAAGCCCCTTCTCCCTCCCCTGCCATGCCAGGCCTGACCCCCTTGACCCTCTCTCTCTCCCGCGAGCCACAGTCCTTTCTCTCCCATCCTTAATCCCTCCCACCCCCATCTTGGCTGCAGTGCGTGCCAGACCCAGCTCTAACTCCAGCAGCTGGGGGGGCGCAGGGGTGCCTGCCCCCACCTCGTGTGGGATGCAGCAAGGTGCAGGTAGTGTCATGTGCATGTGGTGCTCCAGGGCAGTGCGGTCTGCTGTGGTGGGGAAAGCAGCAGCATGGGGTGCCGCTGTCCTGACCTCTCTCGCATGTGGTCCTGCCTGCACTGCTCATTGCCCCAGCCCTGCCTGCAGGGCCCAGAGACGCCCTTCTGCCAGCTCCTCTGGCTGGCTCGAGGGTACTCTGGCAGCTGCAGAAAGTGTCTCTGTGGGGGCAGCCAGACTCTGGGCAGCTGGGCACTATACTCTGGCTCCCCAAGAGCCTGGCAACAGGGAACCCCCAAGAGCCTGCTGTTAGCACATAAGCCCAGCTGGGAGCCCCACTTCTAGCACCTGTCCCCAAGGTGCTTTCCCAAGCACTGCATCCCCCCTCTCCCCTGCCTTTAGGCTGTCATGGCTGTGATGTAAGTTCTGCCGGCTACTGTGCCATGTTTCTTGGTATTGAAAGCCTTGTGGGATGGAGGTGGAGGAACGGCAGTAGGGGCTTGGTTTAAAATAGCAATTCCAAGTGATGAGGGGAAGCAGCGAAGTCAGCTTTAACTGGTAGAGGGGGGGTGGAGGGAGAGAAGGAGGGGACAGGTAGAACACAGAGTGACTTGATGATGTCACTGTGTCATCCCGCAGGAAAAAGTTTTTTTTTTAATATAGAGAGAGATTACTCCTGGTCTGACTCAGCCCTTACTTTCTCTATAACTCCTTCCTCTCATTTCTCTAGTCTTTACGGTGCCTGACCTCTGACTACATCATATGCAAAATGTTACAAACTAATTCTTTGTAAGGGGGAGTGCATAGCTAGGCAGCCCTCAGACAAAATTGTACTAGGGATCTTGGAAGTAGTTTAAGAAAGAGGCAGCAGTGCGAGGTGGCAGGTGGAAGCTAGTTTTTAAACCAGCTCCCTGCATAGACCAGCTTCGGCCAGGCACCCCGTGCTGTTGCCTCTGTTTCAGAGGGAACAGTACAAGGTGGCAGATGGCTCCCCTGCATTCTCCATTTAAAATTTGGACCAGCGGGCTGGGACTGAACCAGCCTGCTGGTCCTAGTTTTACATGCAAAGCATGTGCTGGAAGATGGGGATGGGAGGATATATTGCAGTTAACCAGATCTGTTAATTACTAAGCAATTGCTTATTGGTTAAATGGTTAACTGGCTAGCCACTGACATCCCTAAATTGTACCTCACATTTACACTCACCTGTGCTGGTAGGCTGGAGCCAAGGCTCTACCTGTTCCCACCTCTTTGCTTGCTTTCTACCTGATAGCACAAAAAGTATAAGAACAGAGTACTGAGCACATTCTCTAGCTTCCCTGTGTGGCAGAGGGAAAACGTTTGTGTGTATTGGTGGGACGTCTTATTGTTTGTTCCTTTTTATGTTGCTGCATAATCATGTGGGCTGATCCCACAGTCTGCGCCTAAATCATTATGCTAAATAGCATGAACCCTAGAAAGGTAAATCGCTCAATCTCCTGAAGAATTGTTGTCTTATCTAGGATATGCATTCTTGCTGTTCCAAGATGAAAGCTCTGTACAGGCTCTGATTGATGCATGTATTGAAGAAGATGGAAAACTCTACCTTTGTGTCTCCAGCCCCACTATCAAAGACAAACCGGTAGGTAATATTTTCATGTACTTTAGAGTTGGTATAAAATGAGGCTATACACTGGACACTTCAGATGCCATACATGTTTGACTTAATTGAAATATATTAGTGTCCAAAGAGGATAGTATGATTATGCATTAGTACTGTTACTTTGACTGAGTCTGATCCAAAGCCGAGTGACTCCTGTTCATTTCAGTGGGCTCTGTTGGCAAACAGCAGAAATTGTTGATTAGTAAATAAACTATGCATAGTCATGCATGCAGGAACCATTATTTATTAAGGTAGTGATTAGCCTGATGCCTGCACTACAGCTTACTCTCACAACAGCACAAAAATCATGGACACATGTACTTGTAAACTTTATATAGCATGATTGGATTGTGTAATTCATCACATTAACAGGAAGAACTTGTATATTTCATATCAATTAAATAACAAGATGAAATTTGATGTGCTTAGGTCACCATTGGCATCAGCACCTAATTGTTGATGGGCAGTCTGTGGCTTGGGCCGCATGTTGCCCATCAGGGTTCTACGTATGGTCCATAAGACACTTGTTTATCTTACCTACATGCTGGCTCTACAGATTCTGCTGCTTTCCATCCTCAGTGTTTTTCCTATTGATATTACTAAAGTGACATGCACATAAGCAAGGGCATGTGAAGTGAGGTGTGTGCTGATTACACACAATATTGACTGTGAGAGTCACGTATCCAGTCGAAAGAGTGCTATGTTCCAGTTGGTGCACCCTGCAAATTCTAGGTCTGCAAGCACAATTAGCAAAACTAGTCTTGCGCTCCACTGAGATGAAGGTAGGCCATTTGTGTGGTCCACTCACTAGCCTAGGTTGCTTGTCGCTAGCTAGCCTAATTGATAGTTGATGTACAGTCACTCATACCATTTGAAAGTTTTACCATCAGGAAGGTTACATTGTAACTGATAGTTGATATTGCTAAAATACTTAAATTAACTCTTAATCTGAATTAGGAACAGTAAACAAAAGTTTGTTTTCTGGCCATAGGTTCAGATCAGGCCTTGGAATCTAAGTGATAGTGACTTTGTGATGGATGGTTCGCAGCCTCTTGATCCACGAAAAACTATTTTTGTTGGAGGCGTTCCTCGGCCATTACGGGCAGGTATAGTACACATGTTGCAGCCTCTGGCATGCTAATTGTGGTATGTTGTACAATTAGCTTTACTGCTTTGTGACAATAGTGGGAGTTATTTCAGCAGAGTATCTTGGGAGAAACTGTAAACATATTATTGTTTGAAAAAGGTAAATCTTACTGATGCTATATAACTGTAGTTAGTGACAGAAGTACAAATAAACATGCATGTCCAATGCTTAGAATAGCAGAGAAGAGATTTAGAAAATAAAAATCTACCTAACTATATGTGTGTTTCGGTTTAGTGGAACTTGCAATGATAATGGACCGGCTGTATGGAGGGGTGTGCTATGCTGGAATTGACACAGATCCTGAGCTGAAATACCCAAAAGGAGCTGGGCGGGTTGCGTTTTCTAATCAACAAAGTTACATAGCTGCTATCAGTGCCCGCTTTGTTCAGCTGCAGCATGGAGAGATAGATAAACGGGTAAGGACTCAAGCATATTTTGTTTGTTCAGAAATGTCTTGTTTCCATGTAAATATCGTTGTGAAGATGAAATATTACATATAGACTTACTGCATACCTTACATTTAGATTGTGCTATGTGAGCACAGCCCATGGTGCACTGGAAGGTAACCTAGAGGTAGAATGCCTCCATTAACTCCCTGGCACATAGAGGGATCATGCCAGCTGCCATAGCCCTTCATAGGAGTATAGCGTATTCCCACTCTGAGGCTGTCTAACTCTGAAGGCTGAGGCAAAGGGATGGAGTGAAGCATTTTTGAAAGAGGAAGCAGTTCTTGTTTTCCCTGCCTCCAGTGTGCATAACCATAAAGGATAGGCAGAACCTGATACTGGAAGGTGAGACTGTGTTTTTCCAGAAGGGACCACCAGATCATCTAGTCTGACCTCCAGCTCGTACACATTTCAAAGGGAGAGAGACAGCGGGAACCCGTGGCAGTGGGGAGCAAAGCAGTCCCCACTGGCACAGGTTCCCCTCTGCTCCTCTTCCTTTGAAATGTACACGAGCCACAGGCAGCTCTTGTACATTCCAAAGGGAGAGGAGCAGCAGCGGGACTGTTTCAATCCCCGCTCGTGCCATTTCCCCTCTGGCCCCTGTGGAGACTGTACTGGACAGAGGGGAACTGGGTTTTAAGCCGACTTCCCCTTCTCCAGTACCGGCTTGAGCTCTCCTCCCTCCCCCCCTCTCTTCGCCCCCTCCCCCCTGCCCCGGCATACCTGGGAGGTCGACAAATGCCTTTGATGTCGACCGCGGAGCATCCAGATTACTGTTGATCGGCTCAGCGCAGCAGCCATTTAAATGTAAATGAAGCGGCGATTATTTAAATCGCTGCTTCATTTTCCTATGCTGGGTAGTCTAATCTACATGCCTCTGTCGCCAGAGGCATGTAGTCTAGACGTACCCTTAGATGCTTAAGAGGAAGAAAAGCCCCACACCTTGACCCCAATAACAACAAAAATATATTGAATTGGAGGAAGAGAAATCCCTTCCTGACCCCATTAAGTGACTGCTGATGCAGGAAATTGTGGGACTGTTCCTGAAAGAGCATGGTGAGAGTGTATTATCGAGTATGCTGTAAATATGTATAGACACATAACCCTCCCCATCTGCCTTAGAAATTTTCATTATTGTGTTATGTCAAGTTAACTTTTTAAAGAGACAATTTAAGAAGGAGCAGAGTTGTCCTCACTCTAATATAAATGACGTGTACCAGTTTTAGCTACACTGTGTGCACCTCTGCTTTTTGTTTCTGCTTCACATATAAGAAATCCATGTTGGTAATCTGAAAGGTTTCAGTGTCCTGGACTATAAATGAAACAGGATTGCAGGTTGTTACTGCCACTCTTTGCTTCATTTAGTTCTGCATCTCAGGTTTTGCTTTCTGCAATTGTATAGTCTTTCATTTTCTTAAAAAACAAAACAAAAAAAAAAAAAACCACCACTTCCCTTAAACTCCAGCATTCTCTCACTACTGTTGGATGACAGAACTGCTCTTATAATTTTACTTCCATTCTGTCCTCAAAGTCTGTGCAGACAAGCTGTAGTCTTTCAGTGATTTGAGCATGGCACTGGGAATCAGGAACTCCTTTGTCCTAATCTTGGCTCTGATATGGATTCCCTCTGTGGCTTTGAACAAATCACTTCCAAAGCCCAATTGTGCAACCTCTGCTTGCATAAGTGAGCATGTGGGTGAATAGTCCCATTGAAGCCAATGGGACTGTTTAAGTCCTTGCTATTTCTGAACAAGGATTGTACAATCAGAGCTATCTCCCCTGCCTCAGTTTCCCCATTTCTGGTTGGTTTTTTTTAAAGAGTGATAGATACTGGAATGGCTAATTAAAAGAACATTTTGAATGTGAAGATGGTAAATAAATGCTGAATGTTATTGTTGCTAAATAAAAGTAAGCACTGCTAGACTTCAGAGATCAGCATCAAAACACTCATTTGTCCAGATATTCAGTACTGAGTTACACTGATTGCATATTTGACCTTCTTTAGAACCTGGAAAGGTTCTCCCGTTATTCCTTGAGAAAAAGGAAACTACAGAGTGTCAACAGGATTTTCTTCCCCAGCTTTCTGTGTTAAACAGTGAGGGTGGCAAGAATACAAAGTTCCCATCCACCTTTCACATCTTCAGAACAGACCTTGTTAGCTCACGTGTTCTACTGTCTCAAAATGAAACCTACAGTTGTGTGGGCTGGTTAGATATAGATTAAATTCTCAATAGTGACTGGCTTCCTTTGAATGTAGGAGAGAAGAACCACCACAATATAACTGGATGCAACTCCTGATTCTGGGGCCTGTTCTATGTTGGTTGCTAGTGTGCTTGACAACAGCCTCTCTATTAGGAGTGTAAGCGAGTAGTTGAATTGACTCCTCGCATTTCTCTCCCCCTCCACCCCCCTGCCTTAGAATCAGACACAGCAAAGGGGGAGCTGGAAATGGTGCTTGGGGGAGCTGGCTTGAAAGCTTGCTTCCCTCCCTCCCCCCGGTCTTGGGGAGAGGGGTGTCAAAGAACCAAAGGCATAGCCGGGGACCAGTGTGAGCCAAAAATCAGTTGATTTCCCCCCACTGCGCCTCTGCTTTTTAAATGTATGAAGACCTTGGTGGCTCTTAATACATTCAAAAGTCCGAGCTGTATTGACTGATTGAATAGTTGATGGAAATTCTATTGACTACTCGATTAGCTTATTACCCACAATTTAACATCCCTAGTGGCAATAGCTAATTTACCTTTCGTGAGAGAAGAAGAGTGAAAGCAAAAGAGATGTCAACTTCTGTCTCGAGCTAAACCTGCAAAAGTGCATGATGTGCAAAGCTAGCAGTGGATAATCTGCTGACTTTACACGTAGATGTGTAAATTTGAAATTATCAGCTGCACTTTGCAAGTGATAGACAATGGATCATAACCCTGAGAGAGAGAGAATTAACTGACAAGGAAGGAGGAATATAAGGAAAGGAGAACGGCATTGTTTCCCTTACAATAGCCATATGCATTGTCTGCCTTTACTTTATCTATCTCTGTTGACAATGAGCAGGGCTCGACACATAATGTAATCTACTTACCCCCTCTTAACATCCTTAGTCTCTATGCTGCTTCAGAATGTGTTAGCTGGGGGATCCACAGTGGGTCATCTTCAGCTGGGGATTGCAAAAGTGTAGCATACTTGGACCATGATCCCTTCCCTACCCCCCTCCTTTTTTCCTATGTAGGGATTTACATGGGAACTACATGGAGTCAGAATTCTTCCATACCTAGAAAATCCTGAGCTAGGAAGATATATGTGCTTTCTGGTTTTTTTCCTGTGCTACAGTGGCACGCACACAGGCTAGATTACAGCTAAGAATCTTATTCTCGATGTCATTTGTATAGTTGTATTCCATAGCCTGCAGTAAAGCCAATGGGGCCACCAGAGAAAGTGGGAGCCAGCTGCAGAGCCCACAGTGAAGCATCCCCAGGTGTGGGACTAGCAGCAGAGCCTCCTCCCTAAGAGAGGGGCTAGCAGCAGCTCCTGCTCCCCCGCTCCCAGGGGAGGCTTTGCTGCAGGCTCTGCAGTATAAATCTTATTTTAGCTTTATACTGCAAAGCCTGCAGTGCATATAACTGCTATGATTTTTATGGTTACATTTTTAATCTCATTTTTACATCCCTAATATATACTACCTATATGGCCCTGAAATTGTCATGTGGGCCATAGCTGTGTGCTGATTGGGCAGCAAGTGGTCCTTGGATTGCAAGCTGAGAACCATTGATGTGAAATCTGTACTGTTCTAATTACTCATTTACTGTTAATGAGATTAATTACATCTCCCGGATGAAATGGAAGTACTAGAGGAAGATGAAGCAAACTAAATGGAGAATTTGTTGTTTAAGGATAAAATGAATCTTGAAAATAAATGGAAATATAGACTAGAGATGTTAGCAATTAATTGAATAGCCATGTAACCGCACAACGTATTATCGGTTACATGATTATTTGATAGTCCCCAGGGGTAGGGCCAGCAGCCAGTGCACTCCTGACACCATTCCCAGGGAGTCCCCTGCTACTGGGTGCTGCTGCCTCTATATTAGAAGCAGCAGCACAGAGTGGCAGGCGGGAGCCAGTCTGCAAGAGGAGCCAGTTTAAAAACCAGCTCCTGCCTGCTGCCCCACACTGCTGCCTCTGATACAGAAGCAGCAGTGCAGTGTGGCAGCAGCCCCAGTTCATGGGGGAGTCTGAACTCCCTGTGGACAGAAGCTGCATCAGGATCCCATGGAGCAGGCTCTCCTGCTTCCTACCTGCTGCTGCCTCTGATAGAGGCAGCGGGGTGGGGGTGGAGGAGCTGCTTACGTGAGCCAGTATGCATGGGGAGTTGGCTTGAAAGCCGGCTTCCTGCATGACTCCCACCTGTCCCCCTTGCCCTCCATGCTGCTGCCTCTCGATCAGAGACAGCAGCTTGGGTGGTGGGGCTGGTAGCTTTGTGGATCCGGTGCTCGTGGGGAGCTGGCTTTAAAAGCTGGCTCCTGCTCCCCCTGCCCTTGCTGCCTCTGATACAGAGGCAGTGGGGGGAGGGGAGAAATGCATGTAGTCGATAAGATTAGCCGATAAGCGTAGGCTTATCAGTTAATCGTGTACTCGACTACATGTTGACATCCTTAATACGGACTTCCCAAATATGTGTGTTGAAGTTGCAATGTTGTGCAAATAATTTTCTTAATGTTGTGTAAATAATTTACATTCCTGTCTGAAAGAGAATTTTGTGAACAGTAATTCCTGTAACTAAATAAATCTGCCGTATCCTCCTTTGATTTTGATATGACTCTGGTTGCACAAGTTCTGGAACAAAACCAGTTCATTCACCCTTGTACAGACAACTGCTTGTGCAACACTGATATTCAACAGCTTTCCTAAGCTGAGACTCAACCAAAAATGAAAAACCACAAACTACAGAATCTTGATCAAATGTAAAATGGGGCAGGATT